TCAGGATGACGTCTCGTAAGCCTCTCCAAGTTCTCCTTGGCGGTGGCGTAGGCAACGGCGCTGACGGTGTGGAGGTAACGCAGGACCACGTTTGCCCTCTCCTGCAGGCCTTCCACCTCCTCCTCAAGGTCCTCTGCCTCCTCCATCAGGCTCTGTTGAGAATGAGGGGGGGGGAGAGAAAGGGAGAAATTGTGTTGAGTACGTTTGCTTGCTGATGGGTAATTAAAGAGATGCGGAAGCGGGTAGTTATGAGATAATGATAATGAGCTAAAGATGATGTCGAAATAAATATGAATGGGTACCAAGTCGAAAACCTTCACAACAAGGATCATAATAAAGATAATGATAGTAATGATAATGATAAAATTAGTAACGACAATTACAGCAACAACATTAAGAATCCCAACAAAATGACCGAGAAAATAACACCCACAATAACACAAACCAACAACAACAACAGCCATAACCACAATTCCCCATCCTTGCAGACATCAACAGCAATATCAACCAACTACCTAGAGATAACCTAATGACCTACAAACGAGTTAAAAGCCAAATGTTGAAAGATGGAACCGTGTCAAGGCTGCAGCTGTGCATACGCCCCTCTCTCGCTGGCTATGCACACACGTAGAGGCAATGGACCTTAGCCGCTCGTGATTGGTGTTCTTATTGAGTTCGGGATGCTGGGCGACAGGAGATGAGTTTCCTTAATAAAGATGGTGAATGGTTACAAGAAAAAAAAAACAAACTACGTCTCTGTCTCGCTAATAAGAGAGAGGAAAAAGTAAGAGAAAAAAAAGGATGCAGAAGTAGGAAAAAGAGAAAAGAATAGCGAGAAGGATACCTTGCTTTCATCCACAGGCCTAACCCTTTTCCACCTCTGTTCAATCACCTCCAGCCTTCCGTCCCTGAGCTTCTTCCACCCTCTTCCCCCGTATCTTTAATTCTCCTTCCTCTAGCCCGGGACAAAAAAAAAGAAAAAAAAAGTAAAAAAATCGCAGGAATGAGAGGGGCGTCAATGAAATGGTGCCACCAAGCGCGAGGCACCCGACGTGGCACTAGAGACAGAGCCAAACATTCTCGGACAAACACCACAGGAGGCACTCACTAGACATCCTTTCTAGACTCAGTGCTGAACGAGTAAAGCCGAAAATTCTAGTAGCAGGTTCATTGGCCGGTCAGTAACAACACCAATAGGTTAAACAATGTGTTTGAAGTGAATAAATGGTAGTAATGATAATAATTATATGATGATAATCATTTTAATGATGATGATGATGATAATGATGATAATAACAATAATAATAACGATAATAACGATGACGATGCTGATGATGCTACTACTACTACTATTAATACTACTACTATTAATCCAGTGGTTATTTCACGAATGAAATAACCGGCAAATAAAGAATAGAAAAATAAAAAAGAGTGCATACATATGAATAACACCTACTAATTAACAAACTAAATCAGTGACAAAAACAAAAAGGCGAGAAACAATAGCTAACAAGAGAAAAAAAACAAAACAATATATGACAGTGAAACCGCCGTTCCAAAAATTGCCATGGCGCCCTTCGCTTCAAGAGTGTGACATGCATAAATACGAGTCATGCTGATGTCATATCCTCTTCTGTTCTTCCTCCTCTTATTTTATTTGCTTATTCTTCTCCTTTTTTATCTTCATTTTTATCATCTTCTCTTTCTTTTCCTGTTTTTATTCATTGCATTATCACATTTTCAATCGAACGGGCGATGCAAATTGAAGGATAAACAATTCTATCTCTTAATAAAGCTTTAAAGACGCTATTCATCTCTTCAAGGTTAAGTTTCTTTCCTACATATTTTTATCACTCGTAAAAAAAAAGAAAAAAATAATCCTATAAATTCTTGCACAATTTTGGCTCTTATTCCAACACACATGAATCAGAGGTTTTAAATTGCGATTTAAACTACATTGTGAATTAAAGTATATTGAATTAAACTCTCTAAGTCATCTCAAGCATCTGTCTCTAACGCCAACAATTAACTGACAATTTCATCTATCAATAACCCGATTAATTCATCTTTTTTTAGGCCGGTCTATGTCCTCTAACCCTTCCGTCAAGCTTCTGCACGCCCATCCCCAGTCGCAACGCCCACGCCCCTCTCCCAGCTCGCCCACATTTCAGACACGGCCATCCTCATTCTCAGCGGGCTACGTACTTGCATCTTTAAGACACGCCCATCGCTAGTTTTATCGTCCACGTGCCTATCACGGTTACCCTCTGATCTCCCTGTCAGACACGTCCACGTGCTTGCATACCCTTCCTTCTAGCCACGCCCACAACACCTAGAAACGCCTATCCTCGATCTCCACGCCCATCATCAGTCCCCAACGTCCACCCCGACCCCAATTAACCCACCTTCCCGCCCACGTGTTGGCTGGCCCGTGTCTGCCCCGTTGCATGGAAGCTAAATGTCAAGGGTAGAGCGGGACGACGGAGAGACCTGGGGATGCAACAGGTTTCATTGCAACACGGGAAATGCCTTTCGCTTTTCCCCTCAGCTCATCGCCGCCTCTATGCTCTTTCATGATATGGTTCCTGCTTCTTTTTTCTATTTCCTCTCATTCGTTCTCGTGTGCTTTGGTGCTTTATTTTGTTTGTAATTCACTGTTTCTTAAAATCCTTCTTGTCTCAATAATGAATTATCGTTATTATTCTTTCAAATAATTTTCATAACTCGGTCTATATATATCTTTCCTATCCTATTGTATGCATTAATGGGATATTTGTATTTATTTCTAATATTTCATTTTCTTCTTCTTTCCAATCCTTTCTTTCTTTTTCTTTTCCCCTTCCTCCTTCGTTCTAACAGACTTAATAAATCCTTTTTTTTTCTCTCTCTCTTTGAATACACTAAATTAAACCCAGTCGCATGATATAAGAGAATAGTTGATAGAAAATGAGAGGAAGGAGAAGGATAAATAAGAAGAGGAAGGATAAGATGAAAGAAGTAGGGCAAAGAAAGCAAATATAAGAAGAATTGAACGAACAAAAAAGAAACTGAATGAGAAGCAGAAAAAGAAACAAAGAAAAGAAGAAGAAGACGAAGAGCATGGAAGAACAAACAAGTAAGAAAAGAAAAAAAAAACACGAAAAAGAGACGAAGGAGCAGAATAAAAGAAAGAAAAGAAAAAAGAAGGAGAAGACAAGATAAGGAGAGAACAAAAGGAAAAAGGGAAACACAGCCCAAGACGAAGACAGAAGGAAGAGGAAACCCGACGAAAAGCAGGCACCTTATCTCTCCATCGAGCCTTTAAAGATGGCGTGTGCATGGCTCTTCCTCCTCCTTCCCAATCGTGAGAAATTATGCTGCAAAAACCTGGGGCATTCTCGGGCGGGATGAGTCAGCCGTGCCATGATATTTTTCGGAGAGTATTGAGGTCAGGCGAACACGCGAGTGCGGGTGGGGAAGGGTGGGGGTGGGTAGGGGGAAGCGTGGGGGTGGGTTGGGGAAGGGTGAGGGGTGGGTGGGGGAAGGGAGGAGGGAGAGTGCGGGGTATTGGATAGGGTAGGCGGAAGGGAGGGCGAGGGAAGGCAGAAGGGAATGGGGTGGTTTGAAGGGAAGGTGAGGGATGGGGACAGGGTAGGGGGAAGGAAGGGAAAGGGGGATGGGGTGAGGACTGAAGGGAAGGCGAGGGAGGAGTTTGGGAGAAGGGGTGAAGGGAGGGTAGGGAAAGGAGAGGGGAATGGGGTAGGGGGAAGGAGGGGTAAGGAAAGGGCAAGGGGGGTGGGGTAAGGAGTTAAGGCATGGTGGGGGAGGGATGTAGAGTAAGGGGTGTAAGAAGGCTGGGCAAGGGGTAAGGGGAGGGTGGAGGGAAAGGAGAAAGACGTAAGGTAAGGAATAAAAGCCATATGAAGGGGGGGGGGGATAGAGTAGGGGAGAAGGGCGGGTAGGGAAAGGCTGAAGGGAAGGATGTAGAGAGAGAAGATAGTAAGGGGGTGAGGGGGGAATGGAGAAGAGAGGAGGGTAAGGGAAGAAGGGAGGGGGAGTAAGAGTGAAGAGTAGGGGGGGTCAGAGGGATGTGGAACGATGAGGGGGGGTGAGAGTGGAGTGAAGTAAATGGTAGGGATGGGGTTTGGGAGAAAGTATTTAAAATGAAACACTGCTAGACGGACAGATAGATAGATTGATAGAGAGAGAGAGGGGGATGGGTGAGAAGAGAGAAAATGAAGGAAAGAAGATGTTCAGTCAAAACTGAGGAAAGAGAGACAGAGGAGAATGAACTGAAAGGAGAAGGTGAGGATCCAGAAAAGGAATAACGAAAAGATACGGGGATAATTAAATAGGAATGAGAAAATCGTAGAAAAAACTACAACTAAATCAAACATCAAAATCTAACCTTTGCAGAAAACCACGGCTCGAGAAAAGTGAGAGAGAAACAAACAAACGAAAAATACAGAAAAGAAGAGACACAAATTAGTGAAATGGGGGGAGGGGAGGGGGAGGAAGAGAGCGTGGAATGACGGGGGGAGTGTGGAGAGGGAGGCAGGGGGGGGGGGAGAAGTCAGCGTCACAGTCCTACCAATGCAATGAGTCACAGGTGCGCCGTAATCTCTCACGCTGGCTTGCACCTGTAACAGATGTTTTCCACGCCGGTATCTGGATCACGCGGAGTGAACCCTGCCTCGTAAACACACCCCGTCACCGCCAGCAATGCAACCGGTGCCCATAGTGCCATAGAGTGCCGCGGTCTTGCACTCCTCTCGTCTGTTGAGGCCTGCCTGTCTAGCATTCCTCCGCTTCCGTTAAGTCTCTTGGTTTTGCAGAAAACCACGACCACGAAAAAAGTGAGAGTAGAGGACAAAACAAACGAAAAATACAGAAAAGACAGAGACACAAATTAGTGAAATGGGGGGAGGGGAGGGGGAGGAAGAGAACGTGGAATGACGGGGGAGAAGAGGATGAGGGAGGCAGTTGGGGGGGAGAAGTCAGCGTCACAGTCTACCAATGCAATGAGTCACAGGTGCGCCGTAATCTCTCACGCTGGCTTGCACCTGTACAGATGTTTTCCACGCCGGTATCTGGATCACGCGGAGTGAACCCTGCCTCGTAAACACACCCCGTCACCGCCAGCATGCAACCGGTGCCATAGTGCCATAGTGCCGCGGTCTTGGCACTCCTCTCGTCTGTTGAGGCTGCCTGTCTGCATTCCCTCCCATTCCGTAAGTCTCTTGGTTTTCGCCTTTTCTATATGTTATCGAAATTCTATTCTGGGACTGAGAGCGCAACAAGTAAAAAAAATATATATTGAAAACGATCACTTCAAATCAGAAACGTTTACAATACCCCCCCAAAAACAAACAAACAAACAAAAAAAAGATAAAAAAATAATACATGAAAAACGAGGATCAAGTATCCAACAAGATATCTCAATACACTCACACGTCTCCCTCAGCTGCAACCGTTTAACGAAACGAAAAGAAGAGGCAAAAAAAAAAGTGGAAAAGAAACGAAAAGATCAAAAGTATCCACCTGTCTTCCCTCATTACGAGCTAATGACCTCTCGACGCCAGCTGCTTAAGTCACCACGAGAAGTAAAGAATTCCTTATTGGAGATAAAGAGAGAGAAAGAAAGAGAGAGAGAGAGAGAGAGAGAGAGAGAGAGAGAGAGAGAGAGAGAGAGAGAGAGAGAGAGAGAGAGAGAGAGAGAAAGTAGAGTAAAGCAGAGTGAAGAAGAATAAAGTCGAGTAGAAGAGAATATAGGAAAAGAAGAAGAAGAAAAAAAAGAGAAATAAAAATGAGAGAAGAGACAGATAACACACGGAAGAAACAAACAAACATCGAAAAAATCACACAAACACAAAAAAAGAAGACAGAAAAAAAGGTACGCGCGATAAACAGCACTGCCCTGCCTGGCCTACTGGTGCACCGGGCCAATTTTAGTCACGCTCCCCTAGACATACCTTGAGGAAGGACAAACCAGGGGAAGGGGAGGGGGGGGGCACAGACAACCTCTTTACCCGTAGGTCAGCGTTTTTTTTTTTTTTTTTTTTTTTTACAAGGTCAATGTTACCTCAAATAAATTAAATTCCGCGGTTCTTAAGATGCCCCGGCGTTCTTTGGATTCATTTCTCTCCCTTTCTTTCTCTTTTTCTCTCTCTTTCTTTTTAAAGGTTTCCTCTCTTTCCTTCTCCTTTTCTCCCTCTTTCTTACTCACTTTCCTTCTATTTTTCTCTCTCATTTTTCCTCTCCCTCCTTCTCATTCTCTCTCTCATTCTTTGTTTTATCCTTTATATTTTTACCTCTCTCTAGGAACCAACAATGACAGTGAAAGATGAAAGGGATAGTATTACACATGTTAAGGACGGGAAGCAGAGTTTAAAAAAAGAAAAGATTTTTTTTGTTGAGGGAATAAAAGGTGAAAACAGGAAGGGAAAAAGCACTTAACCCAATTTCTGCAAGGATCTAGACGATCTTTATATCCACTAGCCTTGACAAGAAACTGTATATTGTATCCCTCTCTCAAGATTTATTTGCCCTTGCGTCTTCCACTTGTTCCAAGAAGCTTAATAGTCATTCCTTCCTTCCCTCTTTCCTTTCTCTTCCCCGCCTTTTTTCTTATTTTTTTCCTTTCCCTCTTCCATACCTTCCTTTCTCTCTTCTTGTCCATTTCTCCTCTCCTTTCCCTTCCTTTCAATGTCCCTCCTCTCCTTTCCCTTCCCTTCTCCCTCTCCCTTCACTTTTCCTCTCCCTCTTCCTCTTTTTTTCCCTCTCCCGTTCTTCCCTATTCATCCCCTCCCTCTTTCTGTATCTTTATCTCTTTCCCCTTTCCCCATTCTCTCTTTCAACCCCCCTCATACTCCTCCCCTTTCTTCCCCTCTCCCCATCTCTCCCACTCCCCTATCCCCCCTAACCCCCCCCCTCCTACTAATCCTGTGGCATGCTAATCCTCCTTTCGTCTCCTAATCCCTCCCCCCCTCCCCCTCCTCCACTATCACATCCACACTGCAGTAGTGGATCGCATTTTCCACATTCTGGCAAGCTCCCTGTGGTTAGATAGGAGGGAGGGAGGGAGGAAGGGAGGGAGGGAGGAGGGGAGGAGGAGAGATTAGAAAAAAGGGGGTAGGAGACAAAAGGGAGAGGGAGGGGGAGACTGGATAAGAGGGGGTAGGGGGGAAAGGGGAGGGAGAGGGGGAGATTAGAAGAAAGGGGGTAGGGGAGGTAGAGGAGGGGGATTAGATGAAAGGGGGGAGGGAGTAAAGGGGAGGGGGAGGGGATTCCATTTTTTTTTCTAAACCGACCGATAGCAGAGTCTTAAACCCCATAAAACTGTACTTGAAATATCCCGGGTTCACTCCAGGTTCAATGCGGGTGTTCACCTCGTCAGGGGGTTCTTCGGTTCATATATTTTCGTATCTCAAACCTCCCATATAGAGAAAAAAAACAATATAATTTGGGAAATCTGAGTCCCTAGTTTAAGACAGTTGGGAGAAGAAAGTGCTGTAAATTCAAGCTAAATAAGTAAATTCGAAAATGAATCCAAAGAGACATATAAATAAAAATCATATATCGAGAAAAAGGACTATAAATCACGTTAACGCTTAAAAATATCTACAAAGGCCATATTGCTACTGTTTACGATATACGTTTGTGCAAAAAGATACAAGAAATGGAACAGCCATAATATTTCAAAAGTGAAAAAAAAACAAAACGTGCGGTGATTAAAGAGACAGAGAAGAGGCGGGAAAAGAATGGAAATGAGAAATAGGATGAGAATATGTGTGTAGAAAGACGAGAGAGAAAGAGAGATATGGGGAGAAAGAGGAAGAGCTAGAGAGAGAGCTAGAGAGCTAGAGAGAGAGAAAGAGAGAGAGAGAGAGAGAGAGAGAGAGAGAGAGAGAGAGAGAGAGAGAGAGAGAGAGAGAGAGAGAGAGAGAGAGAGAGAGAGAGAGAGAGAGAGAGAGGAGACGAAAACAAAAAGAAATCACACAAAGAAAGGTAGAAAGGAAAAACAAAAACAAACAAACAACAAACGGAAAAAGAAGTAAACAAAGAAAAAAACGGAAGACAAAGAAGACAGATCGAAAGATAGACACAGAGAGAGAAAACGAAAGATAGGCAGAGAGAAAACCCGACAAGAGTGCGAGGAGGCATTCCACATATAGCCCCTCTGGCCCGTCGACGTCCGGCCACTACGCAGCTGGCACGTTCTTGGCCTCAGACTGACGCTACGGTCAATGGCTGGCAACTGAAGCCGTCGGATAAATCTCCTTCCCCCTCTGCGTCTCCCCTTTAACCTTGATCGACTATGATTGTAATGATAATTATATTAACCACGATGATGATAATAATAATAATGATAATAATAATAATAATAATAATAATGATAATGATAATAATGATAATAATAATAATAATGATAATGATTATAATAATGATAATGATAACAACAATAGTAATGGAAATAATAATGATAATGATAATAATGATCCCTAAATAGAAAACAAGTACAAGACATTTGTCAATCTTACCTCGATATTTTCTTTGAGACCGTCGATGTCCTTGTTATCCGTGGCGGCGTGGTCGAGCTCCTTGTCGAGTTGCGACTCAAGGTTGTTGAGGCCGAGTTCGAGGCTGCGGACAGCCATGTCGTAGTCGGTCCACTGGGCGATGAGCGAGCCCAGGGCTTCACGCCGATTGTCCATATTCTCGAGGGCGGTTTTCCAGTCCCTGTTCACCTGCATCATCTGATTGCCGACGAGGACGTGGCTGTCTTTGTTGACGACCTGCAGGAGCTCGTTGGCCTTCTCAGTGTAGTCGAGGATGACGGTGCTCTGGTCGTAGAGGCGCACGCGCTCCTCGTCGACCCTCTGCAGGTTGACCCTGAGCGCGGCCACGTTGATGGCGCTGTCGTCCTGCAGGAGGTTGCTGTTGGCCTCCTTGATGAGTCCGAGGGCCTTCTCGAGGCCGCCGTTGTACTCACACACTAGCTGCACGTTCTTCTCCAGCTGGGCCTTGTGGTCGCGCGCAGACTTGGTCACGTTGTCGAGGTCCTTGGTGAGCTGCGAGAGCTCGTTAGTGAGCTCCTCCTGGTCCTCGGTGGCCAGCGAAGGCACGATGCGCTCGGCGATATTTCCGAGCTGCTCCAAGGACTCGCCGATGAGACCCTCGCTGGAGAAGTAGGCGAGATGGTCCTCCAGGTCGGAGCGCACGTTCTCGTAGTCGATGCCGTCGGCGTCGACGATGCGCTTCTTGGCTTCCGTGATCCAGTCGCTGATCTTGGTGGTGAAGTCCTCGTAGTCCAGGCGAAGAATCTTGGCGTCCTTCAGGTATTTGAGTCGGGACTCCAGCTCGAGAGGGAATGTAGCAACGACCATGTTGGCCTCAGACAGCCGCTCCTGCAAGATGTATGGAAGGCCGCTTTCCTGCTTGGCGCGCTCCTGGATGTCGGCTATCTTCTTCAGCTGCTCCTCGATGTCCTTAGCGAGTTCCTCGTGCGTCTCGAGCTCCTCATCAGCACTCTCGACCTCCAGGGTGAGAAGAGGCCGAGTCTTGAGCTCGGACTCCTGCTCGAAGAGCCACTCCATTGTCATGTTGAGTTCGACCGTCAGGCGCTTGTGGCTCTCGGCTGACAGTTCATGCTCCGAGTGCCTCTTCTCGACCTCTCGGCGCAGTCCGCTTAGGGAGACCTTGAGTGCCTGCAGCTGCTCCGTGATGGCGTTGTGGTCCTCCACAGTGCCTTCCTCGCTGATGATGGCACCCTTGTCTTGCGCCGAGGTCAGCTGAGCCTCGCTTTCCTGGATTCTGGTGATGACCTCTCCGTACTTGCGAAGTTTATCAGTGACGGTCCTCTCCGTCTGCTCGATGTCCTTCACCACTGTCGTGTAGCGGTTGACGAAGCCAGAGATCTCCGTGACAAGAGAGGTGTACTGCTGTCGCACCAGAATCAGCTGGCGGATCCTGGTGATCTGCTTCTCCAGGATCAAGATCATTTCCTGCTGCTGCTTGATCATGTCGCGCATTTCTCCCACGCTCACGTCAGAGCTGGCGCACATGTCATCCAGACTCTTCCTGAACTCGTTGACCTTCTTGAGGGCTTCCTGGTACGATGTGAGGAGCTTCTGGGCGTCCTCGACGTGGCGGCCCACCGGCCTGCTGAGGGACTTGATCTCCTTCTGGATTGTGGCGAGATACTGCGTGCTCTGCACGATCCTCTCGGTGTTGCGGCGCTGCGACGTGATGGTGTTGCGCACCTGCTCCGTCTTGTCGCTGATGGAGGAGTTGACCCTTAACGTCTTGTCCTGCAGAGATCGCACGATTTCGCCGAGGCTGAACTTGTCTGACTCGGTGAGGTACGGCAGCAGGTCCTCGCACATGTTGGCGATGCTTGTCACTCGCTTGCTGGCGGACTCGCGCTCGTCCTCCATCGTCTCCAGCTTCTTCAGCTGTTCCGCAAGGACGTCAGCAGTATTCAGACTCTTGATATCCGTCTGGAGGGCGACCTCAGCCTGGTGAAGCCACTTCTGGGCGATGTCCACCTCCTTCTCGAAGTCCCTCCGTGCCTCCAGGAGGTTGGAGAGCCTGTTGATTGTTCCTGACAGAGTCTGGCGGATGTTATTCATGTTATCGTCGACCTCCGTCAGAATGTCGTGGAGCTCGTCCTTCTCCTCTTCGTTGCAGTCCTTGAAGAGGGCGCTTCCCTGCCTCTTCACGCCGGCGATGCTCGTCTCGACGTACTGCTTGAGTTCCGTGTCGAGGCGCTTGTACTTGTCGACGACGCGCTCGGCGTTCTCGGACTTGAGGGCCAGCAGGTCGGGGCACACCACCTCGTCGGCCTTGCTGCGGATCCACGCCCGTACCTGCTCCAGGGACTGCTCGAAGCTGCGCCGCTCCTCGTACGACACGATCATGTCGTTCTTGACCTCCGACACCGTCGCCTGCAGCACGGCCTGCTCCTCCGTCGTCTTGGACAGGATGTTCTCCAGCTTCTCAAGCTCGGAGTCCTCCACGTCGCCCTTCAGATTCTCGACGGCCTTCTCGAGCTGAGTCAGCAGCATCTTCTTGGCGGACACCTCCTTCGACAGGTTCTGGAGAGAGAGTCGAAACATCCAAGGATCGTAAATCAGTGAAAAACAATCTCATGCACATACACATATATTCACATGAACAAATACAAAATGCACACACACACACACACACACACACACACACACACACACACACACACACACACACACACACACACACGCATACCCTCACACACATATTTCCTCTCCTTCCATCCCTCCGCAATCGTCTTCTTCAACCTCCCATCGCACCCTCCATTCGTCTCTCAGCGCCAGCGCCTTGCCCTCCCCCCCCCCTCCCCCAGGAAGCCCGGCAACTCACGCTGACTTCGAGGAGGCTGGTCTCGGTGGCCTTGCTGGTGAAGCCGAGGAAGGGTAGGTCCCGCAGGTGCTCCAGCTTCTCCTTGATCCACGTCTGGAGGCTGAGGACGTCGGCCTTGGAGTCCTCGTAGCCCTTGCGCGTCATCTCGATCACCTGCATCTTCTTGCCGACGCGCTTCTGCAGGTCAGAGTACTTCTTCTCGACCGAGCGCAGCTGCTCCTCGACCTGCTGCACGTCCAGACTGGAGAGCTCAAGCATGACCTCGCCGGCCTTCTGCTTGAGCTCCTCCAGTTGCGAGCGCGCGTCCTCGAACTGGTTCCACAGCTGCTGCACTTCCTCGGACTTCTTGAACGAGTCCAGACTGTCGCTCTTGTCGCACTTCTCCAGCTGCTTGATGATGGTGTCGAACCAGCTGTAGACGCTCTGCAACTTGCTGCGGTACTCCTCGATGTGCTGCAGGACCACGGTGCGCGAGTCCATCAGGTTGGTCACCTCCTCCTCCAGGCGGTTCATCTGCTCGCGGATGTCTGAGTCGGCCATGTCCGGCGCCAGGTTCATCTGCTTGATCTCCAGCTCGTCCAGGATGCTCTGCTTCTCCATGATCTTGGAGCGCAGGTCGTTCATCTGCGAGATCTCCATCGCCGACGCCTCCGGCCGCAGCTTGGCCGGCCGGCTCTTGAAGTCCTGCACCAGCAGGTGGTACTCCTCGATCCACTTCTTGATGGCGTCGTTCTGCCGCGCCAGCTCCTCCAGCTCGCCCACCGAGTTGCTGATGGTCGTCACGCGCGCCTGGACCTGGGGGCGGGAGGGAAGGGGGGAGGGGAGACGAAATGCTTATTATTTACTGCTCAACAATACTGCAAAATATGTTAATTAAAAGAAATGAAGAAACATAATGTTGTCTGTTAGGAAAGTATATTCATATTTTAACGAATGCATAAAAAATAAATATATAAATAAATATATATATATATATATATATATATATATATATATATATATATATATATATATATATATATATATATATATATATATATACATATGTATATATATATATATATATATTGCCTATAAAAATGAAATCAAATTTGTATATTTGCCATTAGATAACAAAGTTAGAT